AGGAATGCAATCCCAGACACAGATGGTGCTGGTGCCAGGGCTGGTGGCCAGGCAGTACCGGAACAGGAGGAAGGGCCTTTGGACCCTGAAGAGGACCTCTCTGTGAAACAGCTGTTAGAAGAAGAGCTGTCAAGTCTCCTGGATCCTCACACAGGTAAGAATGGCCCATGGAGACCCCAACCCTGCTTCAGCCTCCTGATCTCATGTGCCCAGGCTTCAGTTTTATTCCAATTCACTGCAAGGAAACAGACATTCTGTTTCTGGGGACAAGCATCACCAACATTTTGGTTTCCCTGGAGCTTCATAAAGTATTAGTGTGTTTAAAGACCAGATTCTACTTTTTTGTTTGTTTTATATGTTTTTCCCATAGCACACAGGCACTCTCTAGAGAGAGACAGACAAAGGGAAAGTGGGAAAACATCCCCCAGGAGGGATGGTCATGTTGCAATCCCTTCTCCTCCGTTCTCCTCTCAGGATTTTGGGCATGCATGCACACATGCCCAGCATGTTTTCAACACGGTCCAGGACTTGAACCATGGTCATCCATGTGGGAATCTAGGACTTTAACCACCATGCAACCTACTGGCCTCTACCATTAATTTTAAAAATTGTTGTAAGAATAGTGAGCCATTACTGAACTCTGTGTGTGCCAGGCGCCGAGGAAGCACCTTATATACATTACCTTGTTAAAGCTTCCACAAAACCCTCCGAGGTAGATATTATTAGCTCTAATTTACAGATGCACAAACTGAGGCTCAGGTATGGTAGCCTGCTCGGAGTCATCTATTATAGCTAGCAGTGACTGAAGGGCAGCCCAAACCAGGCCAGCCTGTCCTCAGGAGACTTCTCCTTAACTCCTAACCCACTCATTTGCATCTCTTTGGTGTGTTTAAATATCATTTCACTCTGGGAAGGGGAGTCAACTCTTTCGTGTGCTAACACTTCTAACTGAAACAAAGACTTATTTGTAGAGAAACAGTTTTGGACAACAAACACATAATGTGAACTTTAATTCAGAAATTGCTGGCTGCCCCCCCTGCTGTGAACATTTGTTAGCCCCACTTAGGTAACCCCACCACTCTCTGCCCACCCCTACTGTGGTTTTCTGTCATAGTAATCTATGTAGTTCTCATGTGTTCCATCTCGCTCCATGCTGAAGGTGTGGCAGGCACTTCTCCTTCTCTTGTTAAAAAAAAACACAAGTAACTAGTGGTCCAGCCCCATGGCTTCATGATCAAGGGATTCAGATCCCACATGGCGTACTGCATAGTTCGAGTCCCAGGCCAGTGGCAAGAAAAACACGCTGGAGGGGCCAGCAGGTGGCATTGTGGTTAAGGTGATGGATTTCCATATTGTTGACAGTGGTTCGAGTCCCAGATCTGGTGGCTTGCTTTCTCACTTACCCTTGCTCTCTCTCTGTCTCTCTATGGTCAAATTAAAAAATAAAAATATTAATAAGTAAAATTAAATAGATCATTCTTTTTTTTTTCTTTTTAAATTCAGAATTATTTACTTAATTGTATTTGTTATCACTATTTAAATTTTCTATAGGGCACATGCACTCACCAGAGAGAGAGTGAGAGATAGAAGGAAAGTGAGAGAGCAAGCTGCCAGGTCTAGAACTCAAACCCCAGTAGGCCATGTGGGGAGTCCACCACCTTATCTGCAACACCTTAACTGCTGGCTCTTAAGTAGGTAATTTTTTTTTTTTTAAAGAAAACATGCTGGGTGTGTGCAGGGCTCATTTGTATGTGTCCAAAGTCCTTCTGGGATTTTGGAGATAAGATTGTGGTGCTGCCATGCCCCATTGTAGGATGCTTTCTCCCTCTCCCTCTCCTCTTTGTCTCTCTCTGGCAAGCCCACGGGCCTTTGGCATTTTTTTTTTAACAATTATATATTTATATATGTATATAATATACATAGCTAATGTTTATTGAGTGCTTTTTATGTGCTAGTCCTGTTTTAAGGACCTTATGAGAAAAATCTTATGCGATAGGAGCTGTTCATCACTCCTATTTCATAAAGGAAAAAAAAAGCTGAGGGTCAGGAGTGTTTAATAACTTGCCCAGGGTTGACAGCTAACGGAGATTAACACAGGCAGCGTTCCTCTTCCTTGGAGAGCTGTGCTGTTTAATAGGTAGCCACCAGCCACATGTGGCTATTTAAATTTAAATCAGTTAAAAATAAATAACACGAAACAGCCATTTCCTCAGTTATACCAGCCACATTTTAAATGCTCAATAGCCACTCATGGTTAGCCAACATAGCTCTGGAGTCTCTCTCTGGGCTGGAAACTGCGGGCTTGGTTCCCATTCGGACCTGCTTCCCCACAGCACAGGGGGCACTGGGCTGTAAGAAGCAGGGTAGTGGGGCCAGCAAGTGGTGTGGTGGTTAAGGCGTTCAACTCCCATATGGCTGACCATGGTTTGAGTCCCAGACCTGGTAACTTCCTTTCCCTCTTTTTCTTTCTTTCACTTTCTCATCTCTCTGATGACTACATGTGTCCTATAGCAAATTAAAAATAATAAGAAGAAATAAAAAAAAAAATATATATATATATATTTAAAGGGGGAGTGTAAGAAGTGAGGGACAGGGCCAGCAGGTGGCATGGTGGTTAAGGGTGCTGTACTCCCACATGACCGACTGTGGTTTGAGTCCTGGACCTGGCGGCTTGCTCTCTCTCTCTCTGTCTCTCTCTGGTCAAATTAAAATAAATGAATGAATATATAAAATTTAAAAAATAATTCTTAAAGAAATGGAGGACAAGGAAGGAAGCAGGGAGACAGAAAACCCCTTGCTGCTCACAGAGCTAGACTGCCCCAGGGGTTACTAATGAGGGCCCCTGTTTCAAATAACAGCCTTGTGTAATGGGCTACCGGGTGGCTTGGAGGTGAAGGTGCTGGATCCTGTAGAGCTGGCTCTGTGGTTTAAGTCTCATGCCTAGTGGCTTGACAATCACACCAGGCACGTTTGCATGCATGTCCATAATCCTGGGAGGGGAATGGAGAAGACGGGATTACAGTGTGGCTGTCGACCATGGGGGAAGATTTCTCATTTTCATTTTTCCTCTGGTGAGCACACACGCCCTATAGCAAAAACCTAAAGAAAAAGAAAGCCCATTTGGGGTTATGACAATAATATTTTACTGGTTGCATGAGCTCACTATATCCTCGTAATGACTTGACAGGACAGGTACTAGTGTCTCAACACTCTCACCAGAGAGAGTGAGAGACAGGAGGAAAGTGAGAGAGCAAGCTGCCTGGTCCAGGACTTGAACCCCAGTAGGCCATGTGGGAATACAACACCTTAACTGCAGCACCACCTACTGGCTCTTAAGTAGATTTTTTTTTTTCTTAAGAAAAGAAAACATGCTGGGTGTATGCAGGGCTCATTTGTGTGTGTCCAAAATCCCATGGTTTGAGTCAAGCCGTGGTTTGGTGAGCCAAAAGGTGACTCAGAGGGGTTAAGCTTTCCCCAAGGTCACAATGCCCCTAAGCAGCAAAGCTGGGAAATCAAAGCCAGGTGGGCCTAGAACCCACCTGAAGCTGGAACTGGTCTGTGCTGAGTGAATTCACCCATACTTTTTCAGCATTCTCCTAGGTTCCCATGATTTTCCCATTCTAAGCCTCACGCTTTCAGAAGCTGACCCTGTCATTCTATAACACCAGGAGTTCTACCTAACCTATTGCCCCAGCACCTCAGGGAACTAAAGTTTACATTTCCCATTGATATCTGTGTTCATTCAGTCATTCAACGGGTATTCACTTAGTCCTAGGTGTGAGGTGAGACCCCAGGATCTAGCAGGACAAGGACTCAATCCAGACTCAGCCTGCACAGTTCAGAACCGAATGTAAGAGAGTCATTGGGGGCCAGCAGGTGGCGTAGTGGTAAAGGTGTTGGACACCCACATGGCTGACTGTGGTCTGAGTCAGACCTGGCCCCTTACTTTCTCACTTTCTGTCTTTCTTTGGTGAGCCTACGTGCCCTATAGCAAATTAAAAACTAATAACATTAATAAATAAAATAAACAAGTAACTTCAAAAAATGATTAGCTGTACTTTGAAGTGACTTTTTCAAATTACAAAAGTGGTAGTTAATGTAGAAAAATAAAGATAAAAAGACACCAAATCACTTTTGTCCAGGGGCAATTTCAGTTAACACTTTATATATCTGTTTCCTGTTCTTTATTCTGTTTTATTTTTTAAGAATTATTTTATTTAATTTTATCCATCATCATTATTATTATTTTTTTAATTGACCAGAGAGAGACAGTGAGAGAGAGAGAAAGTGAGAGAGTAAGTGAGAAAGCATGCCTCCAGGTCCAGAACTCGAACCATGATTGGCCATATGAGAATCCAGCGCCCAAACCCCCACACTACTTGCCAGTTCTCCGAGCACAGATTTTAAAGCTCACCTTAAGCAAACATTAAATTAATGTAAAATTAGATATTGTGCCCTTTTAATTTTCTTTTAGAAAGAGGCAGAGGTGCTGGACTCCCACATGGCCAACCATGGTTCAAGTCTTGGTTTGCTTTCTCACTTTCTCTCTCTTTCTCTCTGGTCAAATTTTTTAAAAATAATAATAAATTTAATTTAATTTAAAAAGTTTCTTCTCTATAAAAAAAGAAAGAGACAGAGGGAGAAAGCGAGAAATTACCCCTGGGGGGGACGGTCATGCTGCAATCCCTTCTCCTTCATTCCATTCTCTCGGGATTTGGGGCATGTGCACACACACACACACACACACACACACACACACTTGGCATGATTTTCAAGCTGCTGGGCCCAGGACCTGAACTGCACAGTTGGCCACCTTAACCTCCATGCCACCTGCTGGCCCTAGACACTGTTTAACCATAGGCCATATTTTCTTCTCTTTCCTCTGGCTTAATCTCTACCATCAGACGTGGGACTAGTTTTCTGATAGAATTTTCTGCTGAAGGGACAGGGTAAGAATGTGACGCCACCAGGCAGGCTTGCCTCTGCCACTGCCCTGGTCCCTTTCCTTGGGACAGCCCTCAGGCAGGCAGCCCCTTCACAGCCTGCTGAGCCTGGCTTTCCTGCAGCTTGAGAAGTGAAGGCGTGGAGTGGGCCTTGATGGTGTAAGGCCAGGTGGTGACGTCATAGACCTTAGCAGGCCTGGGAATTCCAGAAGCCCCAGATGCGAACCTGGAGCATCAGCTGATGAAAGAGCTGGCTCTTCAGAGAACAGGGAGGGAACTTCAGAGTTCCCTGACCTGGGGGGAAAGTTAAGTGTGAGTTCACTTTTTTGAGTCTAGGTTTCCTTATCCACAAAATGGGCAAATTACCCTCGACCTCAGAGGTTTGTAAGGTTAGGTGAAATAACTATGTAAATTGCTTGGCATGTAAGTTCCCAATGAGCAGTCGCTGTTATTGTGGTTGACTGGAAGGCAGCACCAAGCCAGGAACAACAGTCCTACCTAAGAGCAGGGATTTCTCGGGACCAGCAGATGGCATAATGGTTACATGGCTGGACTCCCACATGGTTGACCCTGGTTTGACTCCCAGACCTGGTGGCTTGAAACATGCTGGGCGCGCGCGCGCGCGTGTGTGTGTGTGTGTGTGTGTACAAGATCCTGAGAGAATGGGGAACCAGCAGTTAGCGTAATGGCTATGTCGCTGGACTCCCCCGTAGTCAACCGTGGTTTGTGTCCTGGACCCGGTGGCTTAGAACTCACGCTGAGCGCGTGTGCGTGCGTGGCCAAGATCCCGAGAGGAGAATGGAGGAGAAAG